GATCACTAGGTACTTGAAATACATGAGTACAGTAAACCCTCCTTCTCCAAGACCCCCCAACAAGCCTAGAACTGCTGATGGCACTAAACCCTATATACACTGTTTCCCCTATATATACCTACCTACTTATGGTAAAGTGTAATTTATAAATTAGGTACAGGTAGAGAGTAACAATAAAAAAACAGAACAATTACATCCTGTAATAAAAGCTATATGAAGGAGGTCTCTCTCTTGAAAGAGTGGGGAAACTAATATTTGGACTGTGGTTGTGGGAGGGTTGTTAAGTAAAACCATGGACAGCTAACCTGCTGATAAGGGGAATGCTGTATAAGTGATTTGGATTTAGAAAAGTAAAAATCTACATATAGCGAAGGCAAAGCTATTTCAGGCACTCCAGCTATGTGTTCACATCTTCCCCACCTCCAAGTTACACTCTAACCAAACTTGAAGAACTGAGTCAGAAAATATTCCCTTGAACATTGAGTCAGAAAACAGCAGCATCTACAGGCACAGAATAATTCTCTGAAGAGTGTTGTTTACCCTTTGTTTAGATGAGAATAACTACAATGGAATATGGAACATGGGATTTTCCCTCCAGAATTAATTTAGGTTCATCCTTTCTGAGAACTTAAAGGAAATGGTAGTGATGCTAAGTAAGCAGGGTAGAATCAACCAGCTGTCTCCAACATCTGTTCTCCATTAGTAATGGACCCAGGGTTCAATGGACACACACTGCCTCCTTTCCAGCTTCTCGTGCAGTGTACAAGGTCAGGCGTCATTTTTAGGCAGCAAAATGCCAGTGGAAGTGTCAAGTAGCTCTTTCTTCAGGCACTGTCCATACATGATGCGTCCACCAACGTCTGAACCTTTATGCTTCTTGCTGGCTGGACTTGAACTTAGGGGAGTAGCATGCTAAACAGAGGAGCGCCAGTCTAAAAAGTATGGCAGACTTGCCGTCAGCTATGGACTGTCTACCTTTGAACTCTTCCACGAAGAAGAAAAACTCTTAGCCATTTTTAATTCTTGTAACATACAACCAAACTTAATCCTGATACATACAGCATGTCAAAGTAGATTCAAAAGAGTGAAAAGACATGGCAACATCCCACAGAGGTTTTTGGCCTACTTTACACCTGAGTTGGCATGACAGGTGGTCCAAACATAAAGGGGTGAGGGTTTTGTTTTTTTTAAAACTACTTTTTAAAATAAAATACAGACCAAGGTAGAAAGAGGTACATATTATCAATGGTGGGTGTTTATGGTTACCCCAGTCTTTTCTCACATGCACCAGTGTTTGTAGAAAATATTCTTTCCAACATTGAAGTCCCTTCTCCAGACTAGGAAGAACAATAGCTCTTGACAATACAAAAAAAAAAAAAAAAAACAAAACCCAAAACTCTTGATGACCTCAATAAAAGTCTGCCTTTCTGCTGAGGTTTTGATTCATGTAAGTGGGGCACAGGTTCAAACCCAGTTACCACACACAGCAGCTGCTATTGGCCTTGGCTACATGCTGCAGTCACCTGGGAAGCTTTTAAAAGGGATACCTCTACCTAGCCTTTACCCTGGGGAGCCTAATTCAGACGGCCTAGGTAAATCTAATGTAACTACAGAAAAAAGTTTCCCCTTAAGGCAGGGAGCTATTTATGCTGCACCATACAGAAGACTCAATGAATGAACATAAAAGAACAAAAGAAAACCAGTAAAATATGAACTGTGCAAATGTCAGTAATAAATGAAACTCATGATGACAGACTGTTGGGAAGATACACATGTTCAAAGTGCTACTGAGTATTTCTTCATCACAACAGAGGAATCTGGCAACAGAGAAATATGGAAATCTGGCTACTGCTTATAACCAAGCTTGGTCTTATGACCAAACTCAACATGATCACTAGTGAGACGAACTGGCATCATTTACTTCCTAAACTGGCACACTGAGAAAAGTATTCCTGTGCCCTCCCCCATATTACCTGAACCTAATAACATGGAGGCAGTGAGCCAAATACAAATTAAGGGGCATTGTACACACCACTAGCCTAGATTTTTCAAAAATATCAATGTCATACACAAAAAACGGGGGAGAATGGAGCCTTCTTTTATGATCATCATTTTGAGACAGATGTAAATATGAGGATTCCATTGTAATCATGGACGCATGTAGAGTAAAATTCTCACCAGTATTCAGCAAATATGGGCAGCTGAGGTGTCCACACTTTATTCCTGTGAGAACAAGTTTTTTCCCTTGCCAGTCCTTCAAGCCAGGCCAGGTGTTTTGAGCTCTGGCTCTGTTGCAATGTCTATCTTTACATTTAGCAGTTTCTGTATGTTTGCTCTCATTGGCTGCTTCTAATTCTACCAAATTTGATCAAATTTAAATGTCTCAGAAGCAGCTTTGAGGACTTCTTTCTGTTTTTTCCTCTTGGCTCAGCTTTAGTAGTGTAAGTGAACATCACTGGCTCGCCTTCCCTTTGTAGGGTCTCACTATATAGTCCACTCTGGCCTGGAACTCTCAATTCTCCTGCCTCAGCCTCCCAAGTGCTAGAATTACAAGCATGTGCCTGGTTCCTCCCATTCTTAAACCAAATCACTACCTGTTTAATTCAACCAGACATTTAAGGTTGTGAAAGTGCTTCAGAAATGTCAAATGCTTAATCTGATCTCACTTCTCTCAGAACATTCTTTGTTTTTCTATAACCCAATATATAGAACTGTACTATTTAATCAGAAACCTGGCTAAATCCAGAGAGCACGCATAATCTTTTATTTCTATACTTTAAAGGTAGATACCTAGCAATTCACTTTAGGAATTTTTGGTACTGAAGCATCCATGTAAGTGTAAAAGACAGATACTGAAGAATGTTCTGTTAGGCTACAATGTAATGGGAGAGGCTTTGCTGACTAGAGCCTGTCACCAGTCCACAGAGCGATGAAAAAGTTAAAGGGACACCTCAGTTTTCAAACTGGGAGTATGAACAACAGAGTGGTTGGTTAAGTGAATGCCAAACAGAAGCTAGTTTAGGGCAGCTAGCAGAAATGTACATCCCCTATGGCCTCATCTAGCACAAGTACTTTACATGAGCAGCACATCCGAACTTTTAGTAAGGGATACCTAACAGAAGTGTCAGGGATACCTATCTGCCCTAAACTCACTCCTGTGACCAATGCATCCACAGTAATAAAGAAACTAATGGGCATATTAGAATTTAAGTACATACACTCTTGAACTCCTGTCTTGGCTAGTCCCTTCTCTGCCAGTGTTCATATCACTGAATTTTGTGGACATTAGAAATGTTTGACCTGAAAGTCCTTAGAAATCATTCATCTAGTTCAGGTGTTTCATCGTGCAGGTGACAACACAGACCCAGAACGAATGGGAGTTTGATATTCCGTGACATGGCAGAGCTAGGCTGGACCTGGACTCTGATTCCAGGCTCTTTCCCCAGGATTCCTTTAAGTATCAAGCAAAAACATGTCAGCTACTTCAGGTTACCTTTACCTGTGCTGAAAAGCTTTAGACAATGGGCAACAAATCTACTCATACTTGTTATTAGTTTAAGTTTTGCTTTTTATTTTTGGAGATAAGAACTCACTATGTTACTCAGGCTGGCCTCAGATTTGTGGGCTCCAGCAATCCTCCCATCCCATCCTCCTGAATAGATGGGCCTATAGGCATGTGCCAACATGGCCAATTTATACTTGTAATATTGATGGCTATCCTTAGCTTTGTTATATGGTTTCCAGACACAAACATACTAGAAATGGCAGCTGAGTTGCAGGAGAAGATGCAGATGGTACCAACAGTAAAGGAAGAACTGCCAAAGGACAGAGTTCAGAACACCTATCAGCCTAGCAAGTTCAAGGATAGGAAAAGAAGTATTAATTCCTGAAGAATAAACATGGACAATCTAGTAATCTGTGTTCCCTGCAGAACTTCAATGTCATTTTACTCACATATTTATTTTAGGCAGTGACATAATGGAATCTTCATCCTATTCCACTTGGACGTTTTCCTGAATTGATAATGGTATAGGAGTTACTGTTCAAATTTTTGAAAGAGAGCCAACCATGAAGATAGGGATGTAAAAACAAATTCATGATAGAAGATCCTAGAATGTTGTTCACTTAAGTGTCTACCACCAATTATCACTGATAATGCAACTGAATTATGAATTACTTTAAAAAATTTTGCTATCATGTCTGCTGTGTTGATATTATTTTCATGCTATACCTGGTCTTTTATTTCTGAAGAAAAACATTATTGAAGAGCCTACACAAAAAGGTAAGATCTGTCATATAATCTACTTTTAGAAAAGTAAGAGTCGTTCAGTGTTTGTATATACACATGTACACAGAATTGTGAACAAAACTAAGTCACTGGCTAAAAAAGTACAATCAATCAAAATGGAAACATGTCTAGTCTTTCTTGACCTTTTAAAGCAGTTCATTTCCAGGTGACAAAGATGAAAGAAGACTTTTTTGGTTGTTTTGTTTCTGAGTTTTGAGACAGGGTTTTACCATGTAGCCCAGGCTGGCCTGGAACTTGTGATCATCCTGCCTCAGCCTTCTGAGTGCTGGGATTGCTGGTGTCTTATGTTCAGCAAGGAAGCATTTTAAAAATCCTTTACTTCAACAATTAAAAATTCCCCACACTGCAAAAACCCAAAGCAGCAACAACAAAAGCCTTCCTGTCTCTTCCCCTGAAGTCACAAACTCTTCTTTTGATATTTAAAAACCCATGTTGACAACTATACCATACAAAACCTTCAAAACAACTCATGCTTATTACTTTAACTGGGGTCAAATTAAAAGACCCTACCGACAATTGGAGAGCACACACTGGCTCCAAATAAATGACAGATCACATGGGCACATGGTTTTGCATTGAGATTTTTCCCAGTTGGCACTGAATGTCATACAACTGGAGAGAAAAAGTCTGGCTTCATCCATCTGACTGGATCCCTCTCAACCACAAAGCAAGCAGAGGCCAGTGATCTTACCTCAAACTGTGGGTAGGGAGGAGTCATGGCTGAAGGGGGCCCTGAGGTGGGAGGTGACATCCCTGAAGTGGGTGGGAACAGACCCAAGGCATTCAGATTTAATCCAGGAATTAAATGTGCTTGAAGCTGCAATGGTAAAAAGGTCCCTTAATTTGACAATTAAAAGAAACAAGGGGAAGTGATTGTTTTTTAAGTGACAGTATTCATATTATGAACGCTTGTCTAATAAAAGAATTGTATTATGATTCAAATTACAGAACAAAGCAGATGTTCTACCAAACTGTACTTGAATAGGTAGTTCACATCTGTTTACATGTGTACATATTTTTAAATTTGTAGGCTGGTTTGCCTCTGCCTTGACCCACAGGTGCACTGGTATATCTCAAGGGAAAGGAACGAAACCTTGGTTTCTTTCATCCCTGGCCCACAATACTCAAACAGAACTGCACTCTGTATGCTGTGGGCACCCCACATATATAGACTGAAAATCTTCCATCAGTTGAAAGGGTAAGTAAATAAGACGTGTTCCCTGAACTTACATCAGGAACACAGAATGAGCTGTGAAAAGGTCTCTTATCCCTAAAACACATCCCATCCTTCATGCAGTTACTGCAAATAACTATGTCTTTGGAACAGACACAGGAGACATAAAGCCCCCCCAAAAAGGGCTGTAGGGTTTGATTTAATTCCAGTTGGTTCTGAAACATGTGGGCAAGCAGTGATAATGTGAAGGTTGTTGACAGGCCAACATCTGAGGTAAAAATGATAAAGCATTCTAGAATTTTCTGATAAAGGTTTCACTGTCACATTGCCCTTATTTTAGGCTTACTGTTTGATATGACGGGCCCAATTGAAGAGTTTTTACATCATGTACTTCCAAATTTAATATGGACTTCTTTTTTTTTTTTAAGATGGACTTTTATATTTTTGGCAGCCCATGGGTTGAACTCAGGGCCTCTCAATAGCTAGGTAGGTGCTCTACCACTTGAGCCCTTAAGATGGACTTCTGAAGTGTTCCGTTTTCAGCACCATTCCACCCATTAAGGAATGTCAGTAATTTGCTGTAATCAACTTAGACACACTACACATTGTCATTTGAAATTCTCCTACTTCCAAGGTTTGTTTAAATGAGGGACCAAGTAAATTTCAAACCAATATTTTAATTTTATTTTGCAGTGCAAGGCAGCCTGTATGCTACATAAGCACTCTACCACTAAGCTACATTCATAGTCCCTAAACTTAAAAAATTATTATTTTGAGACAAGGTTTTGCTAAATTGCTAAAGGTTAGCCTTGAACTCTCAATCCATCCACCTCACTATCTCAAGTAGCTAATACAGGTATGCACCACCACACCTGCTCTCAAAATATTCAAAGCTCATTTTACCACTGAGCTACACCCACAGCCCAGAATCCTTTTTTTTTTTTTGGCATTACTGTGCTTGTGAGGCAGGTACTCTACCACTTAAGCCATGCCTTCAGCCCTTTTTGCTTTGGTTGTTTTGGAGATAGGGCCTCACTTTTCACCCAGGCCAGCCTGGACTAAGAGCCTCCTATTTTAAGCTTCCTGCCACTGAGATGCCAGGCATGCACCAATGCACCCAGCTATTGGTTGACATGGAGTCTCACAGACTTTTTTGTCCAAGCTAACCTCAAACCATCATTGTCCTGTTCTCAACCTCCCAAATAGCTAGGATTATAGGTATGAGCCAACAGTGCCTGGTTGCTTTTTTTTTTTTGGGACAGTACTGGGAGTATGAACCTAGGTCTTTGTGCTTGCCAGGCAGGCAATGTCACTCAAGTCATGCCCCTAGCCCTTTTTGCTCTGAAGTATATTTCAAATAGGGCTTCTCATTTACGCTGGGGCCAAGCCTGGACTGAGATCCTATTTCTGCTTCCTGCATAGCTGGGATGACAGGTATGTGCACACCACATCCAGCTTTTTATTGAGATGGGAAGTCTCAAACTTTTTGCCAAGGCTAGTCTTGACCTGCGATCCTCTAGAGTAGCTGATATTACAGGTGTGAGCCACCACACCCAGCAGTGCATTCTTAATAGTAACTTTTATATGCATTATAATCCTAATAAGTAATCCTAATAAGTATGCAGGATATATAGTAGTTCTATGTTTCAGATGAGGATACTGAGGCTCAGAAAGACCAAGTAAATTGTCCAAAAGAAGATAGCTGCAGCTCACCAATGGTTAGGCTGAAATTCAAATCCAGCTCACATGCCTCTAAAGCCCACGTTCCTCCTATGCTAGCGGCCTTCAAATTAACATCAGAAGGAAAGTATTAACTTTTTGTTGGCAGATATAAGATCTAAAGCCAAGGCTCAAAAGCTGAATAATGTGCTAAAATCAGATAGCCAAGACTAATGTCAAAGCCTGTGTCTTTGTCCTTGCTATCTATGTTGGTAAAAATCCATTAAAACCACTTCTCATGATGCCCCCGCTAAAGGAATATTAGTGCAATGAAAGCATCCTTTAACTCTTTGTCAAAATAAAAACACCTCTTTCACACTGAAACTAACATTCATAGAAGCAATATCATTTTCGTAAGACTCCCTGATTTTCTTCATTATCTCTTCCTCAGCTTTGGCACATGTTTCAACACTGCCTTTAACTGTAATGGTGCGTTCCGGATTATACAGCGTCAATTCCTGCAATCTGCAGATTGAAAAAGAGGGGAAAGAAAAGAATGGGAAATTACAGGAGGAAGACAGTTCATGGTAATTCAGCCACAGATGGCAAACTGCGAAGCCTGGCTTTACATAAATGTGAGTGGTCAGACATCATGGGAAATGAGATAGGACTCCAAGAACTGTAGGTGAGAAAAGAAAATATTTCTCCTATCCTCTCAATAAAAACCGCCAGGTATATGTAGTTTAAGGAGATCCAAGTTTCAAACATAGTTTATTTTTTCACCATTTTCACAATTTAACAGTGAACTGAAAAGGAATGATTAAAAGGATGTATAGTTTTAGTTGAAACCAACAGGTACATAACCTTTAGCAAGTATGTTCCTAGTCTGAACCAATCAATGCTAGACACAGCTGGCATTCTCATGCACTTGCATGTTCTGGATCACAAAGCAAGAAGAAAATGCATGGAAATATTTCCAAAAGGCAAACCAGAACTCATGTATCTAAACTTAGTTTTTTGCCTGTATTTTCAAAATGTAAAGTAGGCTGGAGGAAGTAAATCAATCCATTTTGACTGAACTATCTGAGGACACCTCAGCTGGTCAACAGTCTTGGGAAGACAAGCATGAGTACACAGATTGAAAAGATATGGTACGTTGGTACAGCCTGCTTCATACTCCTGCAATTGAAATTCTTATTTTACTGCTAGCAAAATGCTGCAGACTAATCTTGAGCCAGATGAATGGGATATTATTCCTTACCTTTCCCACAAACTTGCTACAAATGTAAACAATTACATAATAAAGAATATGAAGTCTAATACTATTAGACTACTTAAAGAAGTATGTAATTTTAATCTCCACTCTTGACCAAGCTCTGCCAAACATTTTGTTTTATAATTTTAATATTCTTTTTCAGAGAAATTCATCAATCTCTTTTCACCTTTTTGGATACTTTCACGGAAGCTAAGAATGGTCACTCCCAGGAAAAGAAAAACCTTTCAGTATAATTACAGAGCAGTCATGGACTCTAAGGACAGTAGTCATCCTCCAAATGACACACACCTTGCCAAGTTATCTGTAGTCTCTACACACACTGATTAGGGCTGGCCTGTGTAAACAGTATCAGGAAAATGGTAAGAATGTAACTTCTAGTTAGGGCACTGGTGACTCACACCTGTAATCCTACCTACACAGGAGGCAGAGATTGGGAGAGTAGCGGTTCTAAGCCAGCCCGGACAAATAGTTTGCAAGACCCTATCTTGAAAAACCCTAACAACAAAAACAGGGCTGGTAGAGTGGCTCAAGTGGTAGAACACCTGCCTAGCAAGCATGAGACCCTGAGTTCAAATCCTAGTACTGTAAAAAAAAAAAAAAAAGAAAAAGAAAAATTAACTTTTAGCTGGGTGTGGTGATGCAGGTCTGTAATCCCAGCTACTTAAGAGGCAAAGGCAAGAAGATTTCAAGTTCAAGGCCAGCTCAGGCAAAGTTAGGAAGACCCTATCTCAAAAACAAAACATACACAAAAGGTCTAGGGGATGACTCAACTTGCCCAGCAAGCGTAAGGGTCTGGGCTCAATCCTCAATACTGGGAGTAAAAGTGTAACTTCTGAGGCTCTGTCGTAACAGACACTGCAGCTTCTACTTGTTCTTTCTTGGGTCATTCCCTCTCACAGAAGGCTGCAGCCATACCCTGAGGGCACTCTGGAGAGGCCCTTGCGCTAAGGAGCGGGAAGCCTCCCACCAGCCAGCACCAACCTCACAGTGTTAGGAGACTGAGCCATAACCACCCAGCTAAGCTCTTCCTCAATTCCTGACCTACAGAAACTAGCTCAGCAATACATGTTCAGTATTGTCTTAAGCTGTGAAGTGTTAGAACAATTTGTTACGCAGCAAAGGATAACAAACTAGGCTTTACGTTCCAATTTTGGGAATAAACGTCAAAAAATTCCATTGAGACTTTAGCTAGAAAATGTGCATGCAAAGCATTTAGTTCTCCCTTCCTCTGTCATGAGAGAAGATAGCAATGCTTTCAATATCAATTAGAAACAGAAAGTAGCAGTGGACTGAGTTTGAGAAACAATGTCTAAGTGTAACAGGCCAGGCTAGCTGAAATAGCTTTGAAAAGGGAAAAGCTAAGCTTAATATAAAACACATGGCTTAAACACAGTGTTTGAAAGTTTTCTAAGTCAAAAGCAAAGCAACACTTACGGAGATATTGTGATTTTAGTGTCTGTGTCTTGTTCAATTTTTTTAAGGTTTCTTCCTTCTTTGCCAATAAGACGGCCTACAAAGTTATTGTGAGCTAAAATCTTCAAAGGGATCTCTTCTGTGCTGTAGATAGAAAAATGGTCATAAAATCAGGGAAAGCAAACCTACTCTCAAATAAAAAGACTACTCATTCATTAAACATTTACTTCCGACCTGCTGTATAGGTAGTGTTGTGCGAGGTGCAGTTTAATACATGCTGACAGACAGCCTACATTGTAGCAATGCATGGATAGAGAGGATGAAGAGGGTGAAAAAACACAAGTATTTGGATAAGAGTTAATTTTTAAAAGTTTTTTTTTTTCTTCATTTCAGGGAATATCTACTCAGTGACAGGTTCTCTTACTCATATCCGTATTCCTAAATGCCTAACACCAGAATACAATATACAAAATAATGCAATCTTAACATAAACTTTAAAATACATACCCGGAGATACATGCATAATTTACAGAAGGAAACAGAAGAAACTCAACAGTGGCTGCACGCTGGGGGATGGTGTAAGAACAAGAAATGGGGAGCTTTCACTCTACATTCTACACCTAAGTCAAATGCATATCACAGTTTAAAAATGTCATTAGGGTTATCAAATGGGGGTTTCTTTCTTATTTTTCTCTATACTAAAACAGTTACCTTCCTATAACACAGTACCCACATATAACACCTGTTATTATAACATGTTTAGTGGGCTCTATAAATTTTGTATTGATGATGAGGTCCCCAGGCTGACTCTAGAGCCCTATTCTGGATTCTGCTTTCAGTGCAGCACTGCTCTATATAATAAAAGCAGCACAGAACCCAGCCTCCACTCAAAGTCCCTACGGAGGAGATATTAGGAGTTCTAATCTACAACACCCAAGTAAATCTCCAGTTTACCTTACTAGAACAGAATTGGGACTTCCTCAAGTCCACACTCCCTGCTGTTTGGGGGGAAGGGTGAGAGCTAAGCAGAAGATAGGAACAGAGGTCCTACAGTGTCTGAGTAAAGGACCAGTGTGGATTTTGGGCCCCTGTCCAGAAAAACTCCCACAGTACTTCTTGGTTCTAGGTTGGCTTCCTACGTCCCCCCCAGTAGCCTTCTACAGCTAGACTTCTCTTCCCCACCATCATTCACTCAAGTCACATCCAAACATGAATGAAAATGAAGTATTTAAACATCTAAGAGACTTGTGCTCACACCAAATCAATAAATGCCACATACTGTCACTCATCAGGATACCACTTTCCCGTTTGTTGTGCAAATTCCTAAGAGCTGTGTCATACAAATCTAAAATAGAATAGCACTGAAAACTCTTTCACAGGTTAACCTCTTTACTCACAATTTTATATCTTGCGCTTCCTTATGCATAATCTCCAGAATAGACTTACAAGCCGCTGAGGTGCCTTCAGGAGTAGAGAGGATAGTAATTGACTTCTCAGCAGCCCCTGCATTCTCTTTGCGATGAACATCAATTCTGAGAGTAGAAACAGGCAGAAAGAAAAATGAGAACCATAAGCATGTAATCACAATAGAGTGTGGAACTACCAACTGCAAAGTCATGAGAATTCTGGGGAAAAGTGGATGATTCATTTCCCTCAAGAGCAGAAACTCCTAACAAGCCAGGAATAGTGATGACTTAGAGCAAATTTTAATTTCAGGAATACTCCCCTCTTTCCTCAACCGAAGCAAGGACATCTTTTCATTCTGCCCAAGCTGCCATAGAACAAACATCTCATGTCAGAGACAGATTCAGACAAAAGGTTTTCTTCTACTCAAAAACAGGAGCTGGAATGCCTGCCAAGAGAGCTACCTGGAATTCCACAAGCCAGGTTGAACAAATTATTCTTCACAAAATATCCAGTAGGCATTGGATGAGCAGATTTCATTCATCTCCTGTTTACTAGATTCTTTCCGTATTTTGCTTCCTTGATAGCAAAAAGTTCTCAAATAAACAGTGATGGGAATGGAACCAAGAGATGGATGACACGTCTACTTCAAAGAAAAGCAAATGGCCAGTAAGCTCAAATGATGCTTGAATCTACTACAATTATATGCATGCCGATTAAAACAAGATGGCATTTTCTTATAGACCAGATAGTCTGAGGTGGAAAAAAAGCACTATCGGTGAGATGAAGGGTAATGGGGAGCACCCATACTCTTGGAGAGAGTAGGTAGCAAATGCTCAGAATTTGTCAAAAGTAAAATGCTTATCACCTTTGTACCCAATAATTCTACTTCCTAGACTGGTGATCTATCTTCTGAATATGCCCTTTAGTTAATCCTCTTCTTTTTTTTTTTTTTTTTTTTGAGGGAAAGGGTCTTACTTATTGTAGCTCAGGCTGAACTCACAATCCTCCTGCCTCAGTCTCCCAAATGCTGGGATTACCACACCTGGCTCCAAGAATTCTTCTTGTAACATTTTCTACAAATACAGTCTCAAATGTGGGCCCAAAGTGGTATTCCTCGCACTTGGCAGTACTAAGATTTTAGGCCAGATTCATTCTTTCCATGGACGGCTTGTCCTGTGCATTGTAGGGTGTTCAGTCACATCCTGGGCTCCACCTACTACATGCCAATAGCACATGGTTCACCCACTTGTGATAACCAAAAACGACTCTAGACACCACCAAACATTCACTGGGGAAACCACTCTGCTTGAGAATGTTTGGCATAGCAATGTTCACTGGAGCACATTTCTAATAGATAGAAAAAGTGGAATTATCTTTATGATGCCCATTAGGAAGAGATGGTTAAATAACAGTGTCTTATCATACAGGTGTTTTTCTTTGTTTACAGTGCCACGGAGCCAACCCAGGGCCTTGACATGCTAGGCAAGAGCTCTACCACTGATCTACATACACCCCCAGTCCAGCTTTCTGCTACTGTTTCTTTTTTCTTTTGTTTGTTTGTTTTTGTTTTTTGGTGGTACTGGGGTTTGAACTCAGGGTCTTATGCTTGCTAGGCAAAAGCTCTACCACTTGAGCCACTCCGCCAGCCCTTTTTGTTTGGGGTTTTTTCAAGATAGGGTCGCATGAACTACTTACCTGGGCTGGCCTTGAACTGCGATCCTCTTTCAGCTACTTTTAAAATGTGGTAAAGTAACATATACTAACATATAGTAAGCAGTCCATTATCTTGTGTGAAAAAAAAGTGCAGTATAGATGTTTTTTAAAAAGTTGCACATTCAGCTGGGTGCTTGTGGCGCACGTTTATAATACCAGCTATTGAGGAGGCAGAAATCAGGAGGATCGTGGTTCAAAGCCAGCCTGGGCAAATAGTTCCCAAGACCCTATCTCAAAAAAACCTACCATGAAAAAAGGGCTGGTGGAGTGGCTCAAGGTGCAGGCCCTAGTTCAAACCCCCACCAAAAAAAAAAAGTTACATGTTAATAGATGCAAAGAACAAAGCCAATAAAGATATGCTTCCAAATTAATAATGACTAATTCAAGAATGAAATGAACCATAAACTCTTACTTGCAATTTGCATATTTGTGTATTTTGAGTTATTTTCTATTGTTTAAAAAGCTTGTGAAACAATTACCCCAAAATGTGTGTTTGGGGGAAAATTAAGTACTTGTTGAGTTCCTTTAGCTCTTTGGGACAAGTAACCATGAAAATGACCACTTTATCATGCCAATTAAACCAAGGTTTGAACTTTCTTAAATGTTTGGTGGAAAACCGAAGATTTTCTGCAGCAGTAAAACCTGTAACTACAAATAAGGGTAATATAGAAATTAAACATATAAGGGGTACCAAGAAATAATAACAAAATATCTTAGATTATAGTTCCAATCCTAGGGCCCATCTTCCCAACCCATTTGAAAACCCAGTGACTGTCAGTCACGTTAATACGCCCTCCTTCAGTGTATTTCCATCCTGTCACTGTGCTGAGAACTGCTAACCTCTGACTCCCTGAGAGAAAGAGATGTTACTCTGGTGATTAAGGTGGCCCCCTGAGACCATTCCAGAAACACAGGTTCTGATAATGATTAATTTTAATGGCAAGAGGAATTAAATCCACTGGATAGAGCTCTACAGAGAAATCATCAGATGTAACCAAAACTTCTTCCCTTCTTTTCTAACCCCTATCTTCCTGCTTTAAGTGAAACAAATGGTACAATTTAAGTCACAGCTCTTCATGTGACAAGGAAATGAGTAGCTCAAAAGGAACAACTCTAATCTGTCACAAGACGAAGGGAAACCATGTAATCAGTTCCTGCAGGTAATGATAGATCAAGGGAAGCAATAAGTTCTTAAATTATAAGATTAAAGCCAGGCAAACTCATCTAGATTATGATTCAATTGTCTTCCCAACCCTCTATATTATGAGGCCAGGGACAGTAATTTTGGATCCAGCCCCAATGTCTCCTGCTTCAATGCAGAGGAAGTCAGCGTATGATGTCACAGCAGCAACACGGACATGCAACTGCTTTGTGTGGGGGTGGGGGTCTGCATGAAAAATGGGTCAGCCAGTTCAGTGCAGACAGGGTACCTATGCTGAGTGTGAGTACCTCCTAGACCTGGTGGAACACACATACACACACACAGAGCAAGGTAGACACAGCCCATAGTTCTAGTCTCCAAAGGAACAGCACGACTCATTCCTCAGATGCACAAAATCCTTTTCCTTACTAAATTTAAGAGGCAAAATAATCTGTAAGTCCAAGGCTTACAGAATGACACTGTTTATACAACCTCATCCCTCGTACATGCCCAGGCTCTTCAGGAAATATGGTAGGCACAAGGGCCAGGGATGTGCCTTGAAGCACTCTTCAAAGGGAAATGGAGAGAGTTCTTCACCAAGGTTCTTTGGGTCAAAATATCCAAACACTGCACAGCAATATGGTTTAGAAGGTAAAAACAGCCAATATATAATGCACTGAGGCTTCCAAATTAAGAAAGTGTCTAAGATCTATGCAAAGGGCTTCAAACATTAACTCACACGGTCACTGCACTCACCTGGCAAATGCAAGAGCCTTCTGTGTGTTCACCAATGGACTCAGCACTGGACTATTGTGATAAAGGAAAATCAATAGTTCCCATTTCCTACTGGTGAACAGAGATCTTCCAATCCCTTAAAACCCGA